AGCACTTTTTTTTAAAGGAAGGAAAATAAAGAAATAGGCCCATCAGCCGAGGTTTGCGAGGTCGATAAAGCTTTTAGATTTGAAGATGTTTTCAGGGAGCCCATTTCCTGCGGCTAGGAGTTGTTAATGGAGCTTAAGGAATTATCTTATGACTCCGGCCGGGAGAGCCCCCGCCTCCCTCTCTCCCTCTTTATATATTCCCCCCCCCCACCTTGCTCCTGTTCCCTTGTCTAGATTGAAGCTGCTGCCGCCGCCGCCACACTGTCAACGTCTCTTAATGAAAAGTAACGCGCCGCTGATTACAGTTTTATTTGGGTCCTATGTAAAAAGGCGCTGTTAATTTCCCATCTCCTCCTTGGTGGGTTGGAATTTGCCACGGCCAAATGACTTATAGAGGCGCTCCCTTTCATGCTCGATAATTTCTTTCACACACACCCACAGCACACACTTTGAACATGTCGCCCTCAATTTCCATCGCCACTGTCGCCTCCAGGTAGATCGGGCAACTTCCTTTTTTTAAAACTATGGTTGCACCTGTGAGATGTGGAAGTATCGATCCAGTCGGGCTGGAGATTAATTTCCCTGAGACCGTTCAGCCTTTTCCTTGGGGATCGGTGGATCTCGGCCTTCTTGGTCAGAACACCGAGGCGCCCAATCCACGCAGAGGAAGCTCTCCTGCGCTAGTCCGAGGGAAGCCTGTTTCGGTGGGGGAGATTTTGCCCCAAGGAATTGAGGCCTGGGAGGGCGACTCGTTTCGCCGCTCCGAAGTGTCGCTGCTGGGGAGTCATTCCCAGAGCAGGCAGCTGTATCCCACCGTGTTGTTATTATTTTCCAGTTTCCAGAAAACTTCCCGCTTTTTGCTACGCTGTGCAGTAATATCCTCAGCCCTGGATCCCGGCATGTGAACCCCTGTTTTTATTAATTTTTCTGAGGAACAGATAGGAAATACGGTATTTCTGATAGTGGGTACGATCCTCCTCTTTTAGACGCGCCTCCAAGCGCACTTAAAATCCGCTGTGCCCGAAGGGGCCGCCTCCTCAACTGGCGTTTCTCGGCACTTTTAAGTTGCAAGAGCCTTAACTCGCGCCTTCCTCTCTCGCCTGAGGTGAGAGGGATGTAAGAGAATACAATTTTTTCTCCCGTGCGTTTGGCTTCCACTCCAACCGAACCGAAACCGGCGAAGGAGCCGAGCTCTCTTCCTTGAATCTCAATTTCCCGCGGAAAACCCCGAGGGGCAGGGAGAGGGGTTTGGAAGAGAGACGCAACAGCGGCCTGGCATTTTCTGAGGAGGTCGTTGGCTTCCGGGGGTGGGGGCTGGCTTGTGCCTTTTTGACGTTTGGCAACTCCTTTTCGAGGCTCGGTGGTGTCAAGTAAATACTTGATTGGCTTAGGAAAATGTGGAGATTTAATAGGGGGACCTGCAACGCGCGAAAGACGAATCTCTGGACAAAAGCAAGTGATTCTCCCTGGGTGTATGTATTTACAGAGTCACGAGGATCCACAGAGAGATGACGGAACGAGAGCTTTCCCTGAGGACACGATCCCCCTCCCCATGTATTTGGAGGCTTATTTCCAGTTGCCTTCGCCGGCGGGTGGACTTTCCCCCAGCCCAGTCACGCCTCCCCCCTCTCCCGCGGCCGCCCGCCCTTCTTTGACCTGCCAAGAGGATTTGCTTTGTCTCTCCGCCAGCGCCTTTCTCGGCAGCCGCCTGCTTGCCCAGACGGCATTAACATTCTTCTTGGTCCAGCCTCTGGCTGCAAACCCATCTCCCCGGAGACTCCACTTTTCGCTCTTACTGTCAAGTACCCTTGACTTTTTATTTTTGCCCTTTTTATCTATTACAACTAATTCGAGTTCTTTTGCCCTTTTCAGCTCTAAGACGTGGCTTTCTGCAAGGTCGCCCCTCCCCTCGCTCCTTCCACCCCATCCCTCCCCCCCGCGCCCCCCCTCCTCGCTCCCTGCCACCGAAATCTCCGGATGCAGAGCCTTTTAGAAATTGAAGAGGGTGGTTCCCCCCTCCTCCCTTTCCTGTCAAAATGAAATTTTCACTTCAAATTATCTTGGCTGATGCAACGGGTCCCCCCTTCTCCTCTTTCTCCCCCTTCTCCTTCTTTTCCCCAGGCCGGGGGCCTCCCGTCTCCTCCTTTTGACAGCCCCCATCAGCAGAGAGGTTCCGATAATATCATCCAAGAGAGCGAAAGTCAATATAATGACAGGGGGGAGGAGGAGAAGGGAGGGGGGAAGTTCGCAGTCCAATTAGAGCCGCCGGTGAGGAGAGCGGAGGGAAGGGCTGCGCGGCGGCTATTTCCGTCGGCACCCGGCTCCCGAGCG